ATTCTCTTTATCTTAAAAAACAAAACAAAAACACTATATGAAACCACAGTTATGACTGCCAGTCAAAACCCTGAGGAGATTCAAAAAGTATAATTAATGTTCACAGCTGGGCACAAAGTATCTATAAAGTTCTTCTGTTAGAATCATTGTTTTTTAAACTGGATTGTGCCTTGTTCATGACTAAACAAAAGAATAGAAAATTGCCAGCACCTGGGATATATGCAATTGTATAGAAAGTACTAATTTATCCCACTGCCTCTTTTTCCCATTTCTTATGTCTCCTTCCTACTTCCTTAAGGTTTTTACTGCCCAGCTCAGCCAGAAACCACCTGAGGAGTGGCTCTTTGGGGTCCCTCGAGGTTCCAGAACACCTCCATTCCTGAGGGGAATCCCTTTTGCAGTGATTTGGGCCTACGCCAATTGCCTGGTCCTCCTTCCTTTGGACCAAAGGTACATATGCCCAACCTTGTTATAAACAAAAGTGGGCAGCCACAGGGCTGGGACTCCCCATTGGAGGCTAGGACAGGAACATCTAGACAGTACTTGAGGCTTAAGATCTACAAACCAGAGATAATAGAGGTTGGGTTTTAAGCCAGACAAAGAATGCTAGAAAATTTGTGACTGACAAATAGGAACTAAGGCAGAGGCCAGGGGATGTCACTAGTTTTTAAGAATTAAGTCAGAGATCAAAATTTGGTTTTGTTTGTTTGTAGAAGAGTACATAAAGGCAGAAAAAAAGATCACGTCTGAAATCCTGAGTGGTTGGCAAGATTGAGTGAGAGGCATTCGTATTGACATTCAACACGAGAAATGAATCTATTCCTAAAACAGAGATGTTACTGACTTAGATGCTGTTCTTTAAACTGCTGTGGAGGAAGTAATCTTGTACCATAGGTAAAACAGGTCTGCAGATTCCCATGGGGAGGAAAATGCAACAACTGGATAGCTTATTGCTATAGGTGAATTGCTATGCTCACTGGGAAAGATCTGAGAATCCAATGGATTTTGGCAACCTCAGACAAGAAAACACAGAACAATCTACATATAAATGTATTTGACATATATGTAAATATATTCAACCATAGCATCATATTATAGAATATTAATCAGGATAGGCCCTTAAAATATATCAGACCATTCCAAAGAAGCACATTAAAGTTCAATACCTATTATATATAAAAGCCTAAGCGACCTAATGACTGTTTGGCCGGTTGCTATGATGCGCACTGACCACCAGGGGGACAGATGCTCAAGGCAGTAGCGGCCCCTCCCTGGATCCCCACAGGGCATGCCAAGGGACCCCACAGTGCTCATGTACCAGGCCTGCAGTGTAAAATAAAACGGCGTAACTCTGGTACAAGAGGGGAGGTAAAGAAGAATCCCAGGGCTCCGTCTCCTCACTCCTTAAGACCATGTGGCTTCTGAACAAGCTGCCTGGATCATAATTTGAAAAACACCAGTCTGACTCACCCTTTTATAAGCTGTTTTGTACTCATGAGGAGACACTGGTATTCATAAAGTCATATCGTATTTTAATCAAAACCATTTCCTACTCAAATCTGTATAGGATTTTGAAGAATTTTCAACAAAAAGAACAAACAAATCTATATCCTCTTTGTTAAAAATAGCTGTGTGGAATAAAAGGATTTGAGACTTTAAGAAAGGAAGAGAGTTGCTGGGGGTGGTAGATTAAGATACTGATGTCACACCAGCTTCTGTTTTCCTGTTTGTTCCTCCTTTAGCCAGATCTATCTACCCTTCCAAAATCCAAAATGAAACTCAATAAGTGGGAAGGGGAAAGACGTGAATCAAAAGAAAGTCCTTACAAGTAAAGAATTGCCTGAATCACAAATAATACTAAGAAATTAGTCCGCGTGAAATTTTCATTAAGTAAAAGTTTAACATGCATCAAATAAGAAATTTTTTCATTCTGATGAATCTTATGGGGAGCTCTATTTTACTTTTGAATTTTCTGTGATGAAGTTATATTTTTTAAAATTCCGAGCCCAGTAACAGAGAATTGTTTTTTGTTACTAGTTCTGACTAAAGTTAAAAGTTCGTGTGGTTTTTAAAAACTTTACACCCTAAGGCAAGTGCACACATGAACACAGGTATAAATGAATATATTTTTAAATGTTTAGTATCTTAAAATTGTTTAATTAACCTAATTGTAAGAGTATCTAATCAATATATAGTTATAAATCATGTATAATTGTAAGAATATATAATTCTTTAAGAGTACTAGTATATGATTTTAATTTATTGGGGGGGGAAACTGTTCTCTTTGAAATGTATTTTTTCCTTTATGACCAATTTCAGTCACAGGTGGGTAATAAAGTGGTGTGTCGAGATGGATCCTTAGAGTAAACCATTTTACTTATTTCAATTTATATATTTTCTTGAAAAAGAAAGCAAGGGCCAACCGAAGGACTTGTATACATGCATATAAGTACAACCAATGGACACAAAACTCTGGGGAGGGTGGGTATGTATGGGGGGGCGGGGGGCGGGCAATGGTAAAATATGTACACAGATAATAATTTAATAAAAAAATTTAAATTAAAAAAAAAGAAAGCAAGGGCTAAATGTCAAAGTTATGTATCAAAAATGGTAGCAGATGCAGATTTTCCTCATGGATTATACAGATACCATGTATAGTTATTAAATGATTATATGTGACACTTTTGAACAAATATTAGCATAGGAAATTAAACTTTATTAAAAAGAATCAGAAAATTGGTCTTTTAAAATATCTATGTTACTGTTTTAATGAAAAGCTCTTAAATATTTTGGGGTAACTTGTCCTTGAAAGAGCTGCTTTTTTAAAAGAAACACGTAAGATTGGAGATGTTCTCCACTTTACAGAACTGCAGCCACAAGCTAATATATTGCTACTGAGCTCTTGAAATGTGACTAGAGTAACTTAGAAACCAGATTTTAAATTTTCATTTAGTTTTAATCAATTTTAAGTGTAAAGAACCGCATATGGCTAGTGCCACCATTGATTGTACAACACAGATCTAGACAGTATAAGTACTTATGAGTATATGAAGTAAAGCATTAGACTTGTCATCTAACTTATTATTGGTATATATATTTCATGTAATAAGCATTAACTAATAGTAACAGTATTGTTCAATGTAATACATATTTTACTCCACCTGATTAGAATATTATAGAATTAGAAATATTTAATGTATTTGGAAAAATAGAAATTTGAAAACTCAAATCACAAGCCCTTTGTTTTGGGGGGAGACAGGGATAAATGGGAGAGAAATGATGAGAAAAATAATATTATGGGTGGCACAGACCATGAAATATGTGAAAGAAGTAGAAAAAAACAGATAATTGTTTTATAATAAATCATCCAAAGGTGATATAGGAGGGAAAATGATTTAGTAGAAGGAAAGGGAATTTTCTTTTAAGACCATGAATCATGTAACTTCACAGATTTAGCTTTATTTATTCTGCATGTTCTTTTTATATAGATCATTTTATTTTATGTAGCAAAAAATATCAGACATTTATACTATTATGCCAAAAAACCAATATTGCCATGGTAATATTTACAAATTGACTCAGATTAATAGATTGACTTGATTTTTTCCCCCCCCCCATATCTCTTGTTGGGTAATACTTTTGTAGGCAGAAACGGAATTACAGAGAGCTACAATGGATGCTACTCGAACAACTCGTCAGCTGGAGGAAACTATTGACAATTTTGAAAAACAGAAAATAAAGGATATAAAGGTAATACAATAACTATTAAGTTTCAAAACATGTTTTCTAACCTTTATGTTTTATTTAAATTCATGAAAAATTTAAATTACTGAATTTTTTATTGTTCAATTACAGTTGCCATTCAGTGGTTTTTATATTAGTTTGGGTGTACAGCATAGTGGTGAGACATTTATATAACTTACAAAGTGACCCCCAACACCCAATAAGTTTTACACCCATCAGATACCATGTGGAGTTATTACAGTATTGACTACATTCCCTAAGCTGTACTTTAAATCCCCATGACTGTTTTGTAACTGCCAGTTTGTACTTCTTAAAACCTCCGCCTTTTTTATCTAGTCCTCACCTTGTGGGATTCCAAACTGGTGCAGCCACTATGGAAAACTCTCCAGTGGTTCCTCAAAAAACGAAAAATAAAACTACCTTATGATCTAGCAATTCTACTTCTGGGTATTTATCTGAAGAGATCCAAAACACTTAATTCAAAAAGGGTTGCATCAAATCTGTAGATCATTTGGGGGAATACTACCACTTTAGTCCATTAACATGAGATGTTTTCCAAATATATGAATCTTTCTTAATTAACAATGTTTGTCGTTTTCCCTGCCTATGGATTATCCCATCTCTGTTTAGGTCAACATGTACATCTTCATTCTCTTTGCTCATAATCTTCCTTGTTATAAGTTATCAATATGTTCATAGATATTACCTACCCAGTTTATTTGTAAAGGAAATACTGTTTCCAGCAAGAACAGTGTAGTACAATGAGCAAGAGCTATAATTTCTGAAGATTCACATTCAAGCCTTACCATTCCAGTTGAGCAACACCGGGCAAGTCATATATTTGTAAGCTAGAAAGTTTTATGCAAATGTATGATGCTATTATCAGTAGTAGAAATATCATTATTACCACATAATTCCTTTGCTGTTAGAGAATGTAAGTAACATATAATAAAAAATATAGTGGAATATAATTCCTGTCGAAAAAAACATTCTATTGTATAAACATCAGTTACAGTAGCTAAAATACCTAATAGCTGCTTTACCTAATACTTATAGGCATGAGGCAACAGTACATAATGGCATACATTTAACTCAATATTTTTTATTATAAATGCCAATTACAAGGCATAAGTAGAACTGACTTAAAAAATGAGGTAAGTAAATAGTAAGAGGTAGGAAATATTTTGCATAATTTGAAGGTTTTGCTGCAAAAGGTCTTACAACTATTTTTACTTACCCTGTAGTTAAAAAAAAAAAAAAAATACCTCTGTATTCCATAAAATGGCTAAACTATATAGTAAGGAATAACTTCAGTACATTCACAATGCAATTTTTATGATTGTTTAAATTCAAATCTTTGTTTTTTTAGACTATATTTTCAGAATTTATCACTATTGAAATGCTGTTTCATGGCAAAGCTTTGGAGGTCTACACTGCTGCCTACCAAAATATACAAAAGATTGATGAAGAAGAAGATTTAGAGGTAAGATTTTGTCTATCTAAGCTCAGTACTTCTATTAGGATGGAAATTTTTAAAAGAGAGTATTGGTTTATTTGGGTAAAAATATCTTGAATTAGAATTCTACAGTGGTTAATTTGTTAATTTTGTTATTGTACTGAATACATAGCAGTTCCAAATAGCTGAACTCATACAGATTTTACTCTGTATTTTTAACTTTTCAAATTAACCACAGTAAAGTTCTAAAAGATAACTTAATACCAGTAAAATATAATCTAAATAAAGCCATTACATGAAATAGTGCATCATTTTAATATAATGGTAATATGTCATTTAAGTGTGCTATAGCATTCACTGATTTGAACTAATATCTGAGTGTTTACACCATGCACATACCCAAAGCTTTATGTGCGTTTTATTATTCACTCCTTAATCCTGTGAGGTAGGTGCTGTTATTATTCTCATGGGAGAGCTACAGAAACAGGTTTAGAGACTTTAACTAACTAATCCATGACACTTAGCTAGTAAATAGCAGAATCAGGATTCTAACCAGTTTTCAAGGACTTCATCAGTAAGCCATGAAATAAACACAGCTGTGTATATATGTCTGTGTGTGTGTGTGTGTGTGTGTATTATACTACTATATATGGCTTGCTTTGTATCAATAGTTAAAGGCAAATAAATCTGATTGACCAACTAACATTAGAGCAATTTAATATCAAAACCTGGCTACAATAAGCATATCTGAAGAATTTATGTATGTCCTACCCTCTTACCTTCCCAAGAGGGGGTAGGAGGGGGAGGCACAAAAGTATTTTTGCTAAAACATTTGAGACATACTTTGTACGTGTTATCTCTACAGTAGAAGTGGAAAAAGGCCGTGCATTCTCAAGATAGAACTAGAATTCTGTAGTAAGTGGTGGAATTTGGGAGCATCTGCCATTTGACAATTTTGAAGATTCCGCGATTTCTTTTTTACTAACTGAACTTTTGAAAAAGGGTACATGGAATTTAGTTTGTGTAGTTTTCCAATCCCAAAATCTGTTTGTTACTCAGACGTATCATATTTATATTTATTGTTTGTCAACAGATGGCTTCCTAAGTGTCCATTTCTCCCAAATACTAAAGCTGTGTCTTCATTTTCACTTTTCATGTCCTATGTTTTTAAAACTGGGTACTAAGCTTTTATCTATCATTTGTGGAATAAAATAGCAAGCGTTTATTTTGGCCCAGCTACTGATCTATGCACTTTATTTTAATCCTTCTGTCAACTTTGATGAAAGTACTGTTGTCCATTCTATGGATGAGAAAACTGAGGCACAGTGAGGTTAAGAAACTTCCAGAGGTTCTTAGCTAGGATCAAAATCCAGTCCCCTTATAATAGACACTTTTTATCCTCTCTGCATTATACTGCCAGAAGCGTGGTTCTTCATGAGTGACATGAACCATTTCCTGCAGAAACAGTGATCCCCCCACTTTTCCTGCAAGACTGGAACCCCCTTTACAAACATTTTCATTCTCCTTTTTTCTAATACCCTTGACATGCCATCTACCTGACACTAAAGTTCCTTCAAGTCCTTTGGACCCCAGGATTTTCCTCATTCCAGAGGTCCTAAGATATTTTTGTCTCACCACTTGCTTTACAGCTTCTCTTACCACTGTTTTTAATCAGCTAGATAGGTAGCTTGTGTGAGGAGCAAATCATAAAAAATTAAAGCTCTCAGGGCTGTGTGGTCAATGCAACTGCTTACTGAGCACGTTATAAGCCGGCACCATTCTAAGTACTGAGGATTTAGCCTTGTAAGTTGGAAATGGCCCAACTTGTCAAAGCAGAAACTTAAAAATCTACCATGGAGTTAAGACAATTTTAAAAAATATTCTTTGTAACTAAATTTTGTAATGCAGTCAGTCTCAGAGAGAAAATATACAGTGTGCTGTGAGTGAAATGTGATGGAGGATTCTAAATAGTATGAAGCATCAAAAAAAATTACTGAATTAGAAGCTAGAGTATTAGAATGCCTGGCAACAACTTTTAGGCACAGGGTATAGACATACAAAGGTTCTGAGGCATGGTGAATTATAGGTGTAAGCTATTACTGTTATGCCATTACAGAAACTGTGGAGAAGAGAAGTTTGGTTCAGCGGATAGAGCATCAGCCTTCAGACTGAAGGGTCCTGGGTTCCATTACAGTCCAGGGCACATGCCCGGGTTGCAGGCTCCGTCCCTAGTTGGGGGCGTGCAGGAGGCAGCCAAGCAGTGATTCTTTCTCATCATTGATTTTTCTCTCTCCCTCTCTGAAGTCAAAAAATAAATATTTCAAAAAAGAGGAAAAGTGGCCTAAGGGAAACTCTTTAAAAATAAAAATATTCACCGTGTGAGGATGTGTGAAGGAAGAGTGCAGCAATGCTAGGCACGGAAGTTTCAGTACAAGGCCAGTGAAAAGGACAAAGATAACTAGTGATTTGTTTGACAAAAACTATCTCAGTGGAAGATGATCGCTCAATTGTAGTTTACTGACAGAAGAATGGAGAAGTAGATTATTTGAGAAGTTTTTTAAGGAGTAAAGTTGTATCTTAAAGTGACTGAAAACAGGAGAGGGCAAAAGATTGATCTTGAACTTGTGTGATGGGGAGGGAATCTGTGGAGAAATAAAGCCTTTTTGTTGGCTTGATTTGAAATTTTTGGACAAAGGAAAAACACAACTTTGAAAGAATCAGAATTACTTTTTTTTTAAATGGGATGAAGGAAAAAGAAATTGAAGAAATTACATCTGGTAATCTTACCCATCAAGATTAGAGAAATGGGGAAGAGAAAAGATACAGATAAGGAGGCTTTAGAAAGTGGTAAGATTTGGAAGCACAGCTTTAAGGAAAAGGGACGGAAAGTACTGGCAATCCCATCCTGAGACTGGAATCCATAAATTATAGTAGTTCCAGTTTACCCCAACGTGCTGTACTGCAGAGAAGTTAAACAGAAAGAGTTGAGGACCAGCAGAGCAGGGAAGCAAAGGGGGACTCGCAGCCTTCCTACTGGATTGCGTATTCTTTGAGGGTAGGAACTTGCACGTTTTCCCAGGAAAAGCTCAAGTGATTGTTTCAGGGCTCATATGGTCCAAATAGATTTTTTTAGCCTTCATCTTTACAACTTAAAATGTTTTTGGTATTTTCGTTTTGTTTTAAATGTGCAATAAATAATAGTAATTTTGTATCAGGGAATTGGGGTGGGTGCTTTTAAAAAACATTAAGAATTTAAATGGCTTTCAAGATTTCCATTGTTTAATAATCTCCTTTCATTGCAACAGGTTTTCCGAAATTCTCTGTATCCACCAGATTATTCATCTCGTTTAGATATTGTAAGAGCAAATTCAAAGTCACCACTTCAGAGATCACTGTCAACTAAGTGTGCACCTGGAACAGGACAGGTGAGCTAGAAACCATAATTTAAAAGAATTTGAGCTGCTGCCGTTCAGTACTAATACTTCCCTTAAGTCATCTGACCTCCTGTAACTACCCTTTATTTGTCTCTTAGGTCAAATGTCAGATTGCACTAGGTGCAACTCTGTTACTTCTTATTTTACTGTGTATATTATAATATTCTCTAAAGCAGAACACTTCAGAGCAAAGGTGGGAAGCACAGGAGAATGCTAATCTAAATTTGTTCTCTGCTATAGTAAGAAGAGCAAATTCTCAAGTGAAACTGCTTAGGGTTTAAGCCCCACTGTCGTGATTAGTAATTATACCTAAAGAGGGCTTTTCCTGAGCATTATTGTAGATCCAGAAGCACAGATCTTCAGAGCGAATTTTCCATTTCTTCCATATCTAGGAAGTCTAAATTACCTGGTATATCCTAGTAGGGCAGGAAGAGGTCAACCACCTTTTTCTCTAACAGACCAAGGAGAAAAATAGATTTTGTGGACTATATATGGTCTATGTCCCTCTGTCCCAACTAAGAGCAACCATAAACAGTACATTTTAAAAAACCACAATGGTCCTGGCCCGTTTGGCTCAGTGGGTAGAGCATCAGGCCTGCAGACTGAAGGGTTCCAGGTTCAGTTCCAGTGAAGGGCACATCGTTGATGTTTCTCTCTCTTCCATTATCTCTGAAATCAATAAAATATTTTTTAATAATTTAAAATACAAAAAATGGCTGTGCCGTAATGAAACTTTATTTTTTAAAGAACAGGCAAGCTGGGCCATAGTTTGCCAACTCCCAATTCTTTCAGAATTTAAAATTGAGCAAAATACTTTCAAAAGACAACTTTTAGGGAAATTCGACCCAGTACTGTTTTCATCTGACAGTCCTCTAAGCATTTGCTTACTACTTTATACTCACGCATCTCTCCCCTTAAACAACTTACATTTTTATGATTCCAGCAGTAAGTACTGTAAACATAAACTGCATAAATTTAGTATTACAGTACATATAGTTTTTGTTAGACTTAGAGTAATGATGTTACCTAAGTTAGCTAACATCAGTGTGGCACTTTACAGAGTTGGGACCAGACAACTGGGTGCTGGAGGGGGTAGTATTGGTGTGAGCCTTGTCAAGATGTTAAGGAGCATCACTAGTCATTACTAACCAGAGACCCGTCACACACACACAGTTCTGACGATGGACAGTAGTGTCACTAGACATTGCCAAATGTCCCCTAGGAGGTATAATCACTCTCAGGAAGGTTTGAAACAAGATGACCCAAGTGATAATAGTAAGGACTTAATCCTAAATGCTGAATTAAGTTTATCAACTCATTCCATTTAAATCACACTATTTCTAAAGTTTAATGCTTCAGTTGCCTTGTTGAAATATCCTTGTTTTTGCTATCCCTTTAATTATTCTCATTCAAATACCTGTTTTGAGACCCAAGAATTATTTAACCTGAACTTTTTCTGACATTCATAATAATACTGAGACTACTTTTTTCTGAAAGTATTTTGTTACTGAAGTACTGATATCCAACCGGAATGATTAATTTCACATTTTTATTCAAAAAATAACAAGTGAAAAACTTTCGACTGTTTTTTACCTTAAAATACAGTAATTCATAGGGAATTTTCATTACTAAAGATTATTACTTATGGACATTTTTCTGTAATATTTGTCCTATGTACCATTCTCTTGAGGGCATTTTAAGATACCAAGCATGTAGAAATATTTTTAAGTGAGAATTCTTTAAAATGTGCTTTTTAACAGGTACCCAATTGTCGACTAAGAAAGGATCAACAAGCAGACAATGATGAAGAAGAAGATGAAGACTTAGATGTAACAGAAGAAGAAAATTAATTTTCTTAAACTTCACATTTCCATTTTTATCTTAAATGCCTTGGAATCCAGAATTACTAAATTGTAAAACTTTATACTGGCTTGATACATCAAACTTCAAAATGAAATCCTTCTAGGAATGTAAAATAAAGGAAATTTTTGTTGACAAAAAATGGAGGCTTTAAAAAACATTACACACCAGTCATTTCAACATCCTGTCTAGCAGTATGTGGTCATTTTGTATAGGTTTCTTTTTTTTTTTTTTTTTTTTTCCAAAGACTGGATTTTAAAAGTATTTCATATTAATGCACTATATACCTAGTTGAGATTGCAATAGTAAATAGGTGACAGAAAAAGTATTTAACAATTCCACTGTCGTCCTTTAGATTAAGATACCATGTTTTCATTATCAAAAAAGGGTCCTTATTCATTCTGATTAAATATAAATTCTATTCTATTTTGGTATCCTTAATCAAAAAGGCATATTTTTTTTCTTTTTCACTTTTACTAAAACTTGAAATTTCTTCTTTTAATACATATATTTACTTTTCAACAAGAGTCTAATCACTCTTGATTAAAAGTAATGGAAGTCTAGGATATCAGTGTTTTACAACTATACACACAGTATATAATTTCAGCTTTAAAAAGAGTGCCATATTCAGCCTGATTCTGGTATTAAAGCAAAACTATCATACTAAAGTTGCCATGGAAGTACAACTTCTAGGAACCTGTAATTTGGTGAAATGTTGCCTATGAAAGCATCATGGAAAACCATAAATCATTAAATTCTATGAAAAATGCTACGAAATTGCCACCTAATAAAATTGTTTTAATTTTTCACACTTATTCCTGGAAATTTAAAACAATTTAATCAGAGCCTTTTCAGTATGCTGTTGCTTTTGTTTCTTTGGATAGGACATTGTACTTTATTTCACAGGTCGCAATCAGGCATATAAAAACTAGGAAATTTATAAAGTCATTTGGGAAAACTACAGAAAAATAAAGACTTTCTAGAAAGCTTTTTTGACTGTTATTCATGGTTCTGTTCTTAACAAAGCACTGCTTCCTGAGAAAAATCCTATGTGGTAAAGTTACTTCAGAACTTTAAAATATTCAACACATTATAAAATCCTAAATTGATATTCTTAAGGAATTGCGGATATTATTGCATTCTTATGTCCCAGTATTTAATTTTGGTGAACTTGAGGAAAAAACAGGGTTATAGTATTTATTTTGCTGCAAGTCACTTTCTCTTGAGCATCGGTTGCCCTTTGTCAAAAGTGTCGATATATAAAACAATTAGCAAATGATTCTGATATAAAATGTATGCTTTGCTTACCTCTAAGAAATATTCTAAGAGCAAAAGGTATACCATAGATGATAATACCTTTCGCCAATGTAAAATTAAGTTTCTTTTAGACCAGATAGAGATTGGCATACTTTTTCTTTTAAAGGATAGATGGTAAGTATTTTTTTATATTATTGGGCCTAGAGACAAAAGTCAACTATTTTAAAATGTAACCACCTTTAGCCAAAGCCGGTTTGGCTCAGTGGATAGAGCATCGGCCTGTGGACTGAAAGGTCCCAGGTTCGATTCCGGTCAAGGGCATGTACCTTGGTTGTGGGCACATCCCTGGTAGGGGGTGTGCAAGAGGCAGCTGGTCGATGTTTCTCATCGACGTTTCTACCTGTCTATTTCTCTCCCTTTCTCTCTGTTAAAAATCAATAAAAAATATATATATTTAAAATGTAACCACCTTTAAAAATGTGAAAACCTTTTAGCTTTCTTATTTAAAAAAAACAAAAAACAAAAACACCTCAATCAGTTAACATAGCCTACTTATCTCCAAAATAGGTTTTAGGTTCTTGGGTTATTGGGATTAAATGATATATAATAGTTAACTCATATATACTTACAGACCATACATATATGTTATCTAATGCAGCACAATAAATGATAGCTAACATTTAGTACAAATATGGAGATGACAGTCACTCCTTAACAGAAGATACATGGACTAAGAACCACTGCTCTTGACCATCGCTCAGTAATGGATTAAAGTACACTCCCAAAGAGTCTTACCCTCCTATTGGTTATGGGACTGGTTACTTCCTGTAGGTGACTGACTTTTCACATTAAGAGAATGTAAACAAACTGGCTATGAGATCATTACTAAAGCTGGGTGATAGGGATATAAGGATTTAGCATATTATTCTCTTTCGTGTGTTTGAACTTTGGTGGTTTGCTGGTAATCTGGCTCTCTAGAATAGATAGCACCCTGATTTTTCTCATTTGCCTATTTCCACGGTGTAATACTTCATGGCTAATTTCATTCATTAACATATCTCTAGAAGAACTGGGAAAAGATGGGGGGAAATGGCTCCTAACCAGAAGCCATCTTTGTATAATAAACTTTAAAAAAAAAAAAGTTTTAAAATATATTAAACGGGGGGGGAGTAGGGGGGCAATGTTAAAATATGTACACAGATAATAATTTAATTAAAAAAATATATTAAACTGATTACAGAATAAAGTTATTCACATCAATTCATTAATTTTACATTTATAATTGAAATACAAAGCTTACGTTTGCATCTCGCCAGATGACTCAGTTGTTTGGAGCATCCTCTACACCGAAATGGTTATGGGTTCAATCCTGGGTAGGGATGCAAATGATCTCTCACATTGATGTTTCTCTCCCTCCCCCCCCTCCAAAAAAAAAAAAAATCCAGTAAGAATTTTTTTTTTTAAAGCTTATGTTTACTATTGTTAGCCTCATCTACCACCATCACACCACCCCAGCCTACTTTCAGCAGTTCCACATTGTGATATTTCACTTAAGCTTCATTTTAGCTTTTGATATGTATTTGAGAAGTGTTTTTGTCTTCCATACATTCCTTAAGAATGCTGATCAAATGAACCATCTACATAATCTTTTAGCACTTAAAAATATCTATTTTGTTCATTATGCTTGGTTTGGATATTAATCATTTTCCTAGCTACTTAAAAGCTTACTAGCTTAATGAGTCATATTGATGTACTTTTACTTTAAAAAAAAAATTTACCAGTTTATTCATTCTACCAGCAAGCAGGATATTCAAAAAAAAAAAAAAAAAAAAGCCTAAGTTGGCTTCCTTTGACTTTACATCACTAAAGATTAATCCAAAATACATATAGTACTAATTGACTAAATATATTCTACTTCTGCAATACCCTATTACTAAATGATAACTACAGTATATAAACTGAAATTTTATACTTATTTGCTCAATGTGGATAATCTCTGGATCACAGAATTGAAAAAAATTAACTTTATATAACTATAAAAGTCCACAATCAAATTTAGTTTAGTAAAATGAACAATTTTAAATAAGCCAACATATAATGTTAGTATATAAGAGAAACCCTCGATATATAAAAACTTTTAAAGTTACTTTGTCTTTTATTAACAATGTTTGAGAATACTAATTTTATTTTTAACATTATTTTTAAAACAACAATGGAAGAAAATAAGGTTCACGCTTGTAAATAATTTTGGCATCGTCATATTAAAATTTAAAGTACCATTTAACAAAGTTAGCAGGCAAAGTGTTAAGAATATGAACTGAAGCTGAAACCGGTTTGGCTCAGTGGATAGGGCATCGGCCTGCAGACTGAAAGGTCCCAGGTTCAATTCCGGTCAAGGGCATGTACCTTGGTTGCGGGCACATCCCCAGTAGGGGTGTGCAGGAGGCGGCTGATCAAAAGTTCTCTCTCATTGATGTTTCTAACACTCTATCCCTCTCTGTAAAAAATCAATAAAATATATTTTTTAAAAGAAAATCAAATCCAGTATTTGCAAAAATGACTACACTAAATGTTGAATATCAAAGTCAAAATTCAATCTCACAAGTCCTATTATATTTAGTTATTAAGACTTGTGATACAAAGTTTTGAATTTAAAAAAATGAGAACCTAAGAGTAAATAGAAATTATATGGATCATCAGAAAATTCTCCCTAGAAACATAAACTGTATCTATTTATCAGTTGTTCCCAGCATAAGCCTGAAAGTCTCCTTGAATCTACCATTACTTTATTTTTGTCTTTTAAGTATTTTGAGTTAAATTGTTTGTTTGATGAGATGTTGAAGAAACTATAGAACTATACATAACACTCCGCACTAACAAATATTGTTTAATGTAGCTGCTGAAAAACTTCACAAAAGAAGTTTTAATTCTTTTCACCTTTTATACAAATACAAGTTAATTAGTTGGTCTCTCCAGTTGTAATTTTTTTTATTTTTATAAAACTTTTCAAGATGTGAACATATAAACTAAGAATCTCCTAACTTTTTTACATAAGTAAACTTTAAGTTCACAGTTTGTTCATTTTGAAGTATTGATAATGGGAAGTTTAACAGTAATATCTCAGACAAGAGGGCATTAATTCTGCAGGCAGTCGCAATAAAAATGCTAACCCTGAACAAGGAGTTACTGACCATTTTCTTATACATTTTTTAGTAAAAGATGCAGACTACAGAATGCAAACAAAAGTGAATATATAATGTATCTCCTTCAAATACAGCTCTACTTCATACAGGTCTTGAAGTTTACCCATGACATCAACAAAAAAATTAATGCACTCAGAGAATCAGTCCTCTTCCCTACTGTTGAAATCAACAACAACAAAAAAAAACAATAAACAAAAGAAAACCACTTAATTTTCATTAGAAAAAAACGACAATTTGCAAGCAAAAGATAACTAGACTTACATTCTACTACTTACATTTGTTCTACTCACAGGTCAAACTTAAAAGGCTTCATTAGATAACTAAAATGAACACTTTTTAGGAAAACATAAAAGCATTTTACTGCATCAATACTGGGAAGAGGTAACTCGTTAAGTGCTCTCTAGAGCAAAAGTAACCGAACTTTGCGCGGGCCCACGGGCCTGTCATTTAAGTCTTTAATAGCAGCCATGGCTTCGTTGTAGTTCATCATAGCAACAACGGCCTCCCCTGTAGGTAACCCTTGCTCCGTATACTGGATCCTAACGGAATCGGGTATAACTCTGTAACCATGGAAAAAGTCTAGGATCTCATTAACATTAGCTTTAAATGGAAGATTCATTATCTTAACGGGTACTACTCTACCTGAACTACAATTTAGTTTCGGATCAGGCATACACCTCCCCTCAGGAAAACTGCCCACATTACGCTTTCCAAAATCAAATTTGCCATCTTCTGGGCGACCAAAATTCACAAAAGGGCGATGACTTCTAAGATCATCAGATGGGCTCCTGAACTCCTCCCCGGGCGGCCTGAAATCGTCCGGAAGCCTCGGGTCCTCCTCCGGAGCCTCCCTGCGCTCCTCCTCTGGGGGCCGCCGGAAGTCCTCATCGGAAGGGCGTCTGAAGCCTTCCTCCGGGGGGCTCCGGAAGTCCTCCTCCCGGGGGTTCCTGAGGTCTTCCTCCGGAAGGCGCCGGAAGTCTTCGTCCCGCGGGCGCCTAAAGTCTTCATCTCGTGGGCGCCGGAAGTCTTCCTCCAGGGGGTGCCGGAAGTGCTCCTGGGACGGCCTCCGGAAAGGCTCCTGCGGCCGGCGGAAGTGCTCCTGGGGCGGCCTCCGCAAGTGCTCATGGGGCCGCCGATGTTCCAGGGGCAGCCGCCGCCGTAAGTCCTCCTCAGGAGAACGCCGCAAGTCCTCCTCGGGAGTCCGCCGGAAGTCCTCCTCGGAGAGCCGCCTGAAGTCTTCCTCCCTGAGCCGCCGGAAGTCCTCCTCGGGGGGCCGCCGGAGGTCCTCCTTAGGGCGCCGCCTCCACTCCCCCGGGGAAAGCCGCCTGAAGTCGGCGTCGGGGGGCCGTCTCCAGGCCTCCGGGGGCCGCCTGAGCTCGCCAAGGGGAGGTCGCGGCCGGTCCTCCTCCGAAGGCCACCTCCAGTCCTCCCCGGGGGATCGTCTGAAGTCCCTCCTAGGAAGGTGCCTGAAATCGTCCTCTGGTGGCCGCCTCCAGTCCTCCTCCCTGGGGGGGCTCAAGCCCTCTTCCCAATGGTACCCGAAATCCTCCCAGCGTCGCCGGCAGTCCTCCTCAGGCGGCCTCCGGAGAAGGCCCTCGCGCCGGAGCCTGAGGGCCTCGGGGGAACGCCGGAAGTCTTCCGGGGGGCACCGCTCGGGCCGCTGGAAGGCCCCCTGGGCGTGCCTGAAGCTGTCCAGCGGCCTCCCGGCTTCCTGCTGGTGCCTCAGGTTCACGGAAAGGCCCCTTGTGAATCTTGGTGGGTCATCTGAGTCAAAGGAACGGGCAGGGCCCTCTCTATCACAGGACTGTGAGCGGTCTTGCCTTCTCTTGCTGGAAAAATTGACACTGAACTCCTGCATCTGTGCCTCAGATATAAGTCTTAACAACACCTCTGTCCCCAAGAATCTCTGACGATTTAGACGTTCGGCTTTCATGGCCTCTTCTTCTGATTTGAATTTCACCAATGCTTCTCCCAGACCAACTCCTTTGTCATCATAGAGCAAGTAAATGTCCTCTTCAGCAAGAGAGAAGTCTGCGAAGAACCTCTGCACCTCAGCTTTCGTAACATCAAATGGAAAATTTCTTATATAGATGCACAGTTTCCGGGCAGAGTGGCCTTCTTGAGAGTGTTTTTGTGAACCATGCCCAAGCCTCTCTCTCTCTATTGATGCTGGTCTTTTCTTTTCATAACACTCAATGAACTTCAGCATTTGTTTTCTAGAAATTGGATCAACAATAACTGGACGATAATGTAAAACTGTCTTATGTAAAGCCAGAGCACTGTTATAGTCTTTCAGAGTCTTGAACATCACAAAGGCATATCTTGTTCTTCTTTCATCTTTATATAAAAACCTAATCTGTTCATTAGTCAGATCAGTATCTTTAAAGAAGTTCCTTAAATCTCTTTTGTTAATACTTAGGGACAGATTTTTTAAGTGAACATAAAACCCAAGAGGGGAACGAGAACGTGTTCTTCTGGGAGATTTTGAATGAGATTGTTTTCGAAAATATCTATCATTGATTCCTCTTGGTGGAGAATGTTCTTCAGTTCTCACAGGAATGTCACCCTCCTTAACTGTACTACCACCAAACTCAATCCACTGTTCTTCTGAGCCTTGCATTACTTCTATAAATCTGGAACCCATAAAACTTCTATGACATTTAAGACCTCCTGAAGCATCAATACATGAAGCAAATTTTACTATGGCATCACCATTATTTCGGCCATCATGATGTTTTAAGAAAATTACTCCATCTACCCACAAACCAGAAAAAAAGACACGTACATCATCTTCATTCACTAAGTAAGGCAAACCTCGAAGAAACAAATAAGGATTCTCTGCCTGCAATGGCCGTGTCTTTCTTGGCCTTATAACACCATGTTCTGTACCATTAGTATGAAACCCAGCATCTTGATTAATCGGAGAGCCATATCCAGAATTACTTGCTTCTTCTTTAATACCCTCAACAAAATTAGGTAAGCAGCCAATCCTTGATGCCCCAGATCCTGGTCGCTCTCTTCCTATGTGATCAGGTCTTTTCATTTCTAGAATCTTCTGCATTTCTGCCTTACTGCTAAGAAAGAGCTCTACAGATGAATTCTTGATAAACCCTCCTGAACGACTTACGGCACGTCTTGCATCTTCATCTGTTGCAAAAATAATAAAAGCCTCCCCTTTCTCCCCTCCAATTATATGCACTCCTCCATCAGGAATAGTCAATCCCGTGAAAAAACGACGAACATCCACAGGCCCAGCAATAAAAGGAAGCCCCAGTAAACGGATGACTACAGCCATGCTGAACTCAAATCACAGCAATAATGACCTGCAGACAAAAAGGTACACATAATAGCAAGTCTTATTTTTTAAGTACCTTATCCCACACTAAGCTTAATAATTACTTGGTTCCTACCTTCCTCAGCATATATAAATGAAAGCAAAATACAAGTTCACAAAAATATTGGTTGCACCCAATTTTTTAAAAAGGAATAAACTTCCTCCTATCTACACATGTAAATAAACCAACTACTTCAAAGGTACATTTTCACATCACCTATCCTATATAGTATGAACAACAAAAATATCAAATCTTGTAAGTCTGCCAAGTGCTGCTTCACACCAAGACCAAACTATTTTCAAACTCACTAAGAAACATATCTTCTGACACATGAGAGAGAACTTTGTGGTTTGAGGAATTTTACATATTTACAAAGCCATCTATGGTCAGTACTATATAATTTCTGCTAAGTTGCTTGCTTACCACTAGTACATCACTGGCCAGACATAAAGTACAGAAGGCATGGATACCTAAGGATGTATTATTTTACTTTTACATTTTTTTTGTCAAGCCTCTGTAAAAAGCCTTAAGCTCTGAATATCTTACCTGTTTATTACTTCTTGGAGACCTGTTAATTCTGTAAAAGCAACTTAACTGTGGAAAGAAAATGAAATATAATTAATCCCAGGACCCTGTAATTGACCTTAAACAACGCCAGATTAGGATAGTCACTTCAGAATGACCTACTTAAACTGTGAGGCAATATAAGGAACCACAACTAAGGACATTACAAGATGACCTTTTTTATTCCAAAAGGAAATGAATCATCCGTTAGCAAAAAGGAGGTACAAATTCAGAATAGACATCTGCAAATTATTTAAAAACAAAAAACTTTTAAAAACTAAACTTGAAATGGTACAAGGAAAGGCGAGATGGAAATGTTATATATTTTAATTGGAGTGTTAGGTTACATGAGTGTATAAATTTATTAAGACTAAGTGAATTCTATCTTTAAGGTCTGTGCATTTCACTGTATATAAATTTTACATTCACTTAAAAAAAAAAAAGAGACAGCTGCTCCACAAGTAAAATGAAAATTTAAAAACACCAGAAAATTCCCAAAAACTTTCAATCTCTTCCAACCATGAAAAGACTCAACACCTATGTCTGACTCTCTTGCAATTCTCCTCCCTTTCAAAACATAAGACCAAATCAAATTTAAAAAGCAACCATTCAAAATGACAAAATAAATTAATGAAACACTAACATTTCAAATTCAAACACTACTTTTTAAAACAAAATCCAAACAATGGCTATTATTTGGATACTGTGTTAAGTACTACATATATAGCTCACACTTCCAAATATGGAACCAAATATATAATTAATGCAAATAGTAAAATATCCCTAAAATCAAAAATCTCAACTTCTACCACTCCCTATCTTAAACTCAACTACTACTCCTTTAACTCCTAAAAGAATTACTACTAAAATTCATCTTAAGCCAAACAAAAAAATGTTCATCTTAAGCTATGTCCTGAGTTCTAATGAAGAAACACAAATGACAAAGGAAAGTAAAAATATAATAAAAATACATTAATTTGGAATGTTTAGGAACTATCAGTGTTAACTGCTGAAAAATCCCAACTTAGTGTTTAAAGAAATTTACATCTAATACTCTGAGATACTCAAAGTAGTCTTTCCAAATAAGTTTTTATGACCTGCTAATAATTATAAATTTGTTAATGGGCGAATAAATGTTTTAATTTGGTACTTAAGTTAGGTACTACTCTTCCACAAAGTACGATCTTAAGTCATATTCTTTAAGGTCTACAAAGTTTATTTTCTTTTGAAAAGGGTCCATGTGTTAAACTTAAAACTATTAGCTAAACTAAAAAAGTTATCAAGAAATTACTTGGCACAGTCTACATCTTAATTATCAATGTCAAATTGGTATTAAAAATATTGTGATTAGCCGAAACCGGTTTGGCTCAGCGGTAAAGCGTTGGTCTGCGGACTGAAAGGTCCCAGGTTCGATTCCGGTCAAGGGCATGTACGTTGGTTGCGGGCACATCCCCGGTAGGGGGTGTGCAAGAGGCAGCTGGTCGGTGTTTCTCTCTCATCGACGTTTCTAGCTCTCTATCTCTCTCCCTTCCTCTCTGTAAAAATCAATAAAATATATTTTTTTAAAAATAAAAATATTGTGATTTGCCCTAGCCAGTTTGGCCTGGGGACTGAAGAGTCCCGGGTTCGATTCTGGTCAAGGGCATGTACCTTGGTTGTGGGCACATCACCAGTAGGGAGGTGTGCAGGAGGCAGCTGATTGATGTTTCTATCCCTCCCCCTTCCTCTCTGTAAAAAAATCATTAAAATATATTTAAATATATATACGTGTGTGTGTATATATATATACACACACACACATACACACATATATATATATATTCACTTACTATTTAAATATATTTAAATATATATACGTGTGTGTGTGTATATATATATATATTGACTTACTATTAAAATATATATATATATTGACTTACTATTAAAATATTTGCATGGTAGGTATATGGAAAATCTCTGTGCCTTCTACTCAATATTGCTGTGAACCTTAAAAAAAAAAAAACTGCTCTAAAAAAATGTGTATTTAAAAGAAAAATCTGCCCTAACCGGTTTGGCTCAGTGGATAGAGCATAGGCCTGCGGACTCAGAGGTCCCACGTTCCATTCCGGTCAAGGCATGTACCTTGGTTGCGGGCACATCCCCAGTAGGGAGTGTGCAGAAGGCAACTGATCGATGTTTCTCTCTCATCCATGATGTTTCCAACTCTCTATCCCTCTCCCTTTCTCTCTGTAAAAAAATCAGCAAAATATTCTTTAAAAAAAATAAAATCTGCAGTATCAAAAAATTGAGTACAGCCTAATTTATTCAATATACCAATCCACACCAGCAATTTTACAAAAACTGTAAATGGCTTCTGGAATAGTTGTCCCCATTCAAGTTCTGAGACTCCTTATAACTGACTTAGCTCCTTTACTTTTAAAATATTTTAGAAAGCAGTGTAAGTACACATCATTTGTCCTTGCCAAATTTCTGTTATTTTTTTTTTTAAAGATTTATCCTGAGAACAAAAATAAATCTACAAGAAAAGTTAGGGATGTTTCAATGAATAATTATATGTCAAATTCAAAAGATACTAATAATATATGCTCCCTAACTTAAAAACAATTATTGTCGCTAAGCTGTTTAAATGAAGGCAAATTTTATAAATTCAGTTTAAGTAGACTATATAAAAATTGTTTCAATTTGTCACAGTTAATTATAACAAATGCTTCAACTTTTTTGCCTTGAGATACTAGGGTGATTATCTCTCTATAACATATGAGACCACCAACTACCTATGAGACCAGTTTTCAAAATAAGCACTTTTCCTGTGGTTGCCATGCAATTTCCTTAAGTAAATTCTGCAGAAATTCTATTCTTAGAACATCACACAAAAAACAAAACACAAAATACTCTAAAGCACTTAAAATGTTACTACTTCTGAATGCAGCACAAGTACTTTTTGTAACTGCTGATTTAAAGACAGAGATAGGTTAGAACTTCCACCTAGGAAAAGGAAATGGGTCCTTAAGAGCTCATTTAAGGGCAAGTTAGTGTAATTAATAAATTTATTTTGCTGTTATTTTTAGCCAATGATTCATCCCCCTTAATACCATTATCACTAAACGACAAGAAATGTGTATATTCTAATCAAGCCTGGGGGGGAGGGAGTATGCGTTAACGGGAGGAGAGCTAAATTTAAACAGGCATTATTTCAAATCCATTTGATTTTAACTAGTGAACAAGTCATTTTCCAAACATGGTCAAGGAGAGAAAAATGCGACAACTTCTTAAAGCCCCAAGTTATGAGAGAGCACATTCAAACTCTAAATGCATGAGTTTCCCCCTGCAGAAAAATAACCTGCCCCTGGTCCGAAATTATTCTTTATGATGACCTGCCCTGTATCCTTTTATAGCGTAGACGGTTAAAATGAAAACCAAAGGCATGAAGATACAGAGCCGGGGTCCCCAAGAGGCACTGTCAAAGGCGACGAATCCACAGGGCACAGGTTTTCCCAAAACATCCATCAATCCGCAGATGGGGAGCAGCCCGAGGCAGCGCCTCCAGAGCCCGCAGCCTCGGTCCAGGCTCCCGGGGGCCGGAGCTTGCTTCTTCCCACGCCGGCCAGAGTTGCTCCGTAAGATCCGACGCCGCGGCCAGAACCTTCGGACAAAATCCGCTTTCTCCAATTAACTCGGACCGCCCCACCTCCGCGCCTTTCCGTTACCGGGTCCCAAGGACAACTATGGGTGAACTCTGCTCCCAAACCTCACGCTGCGGCCCCTGCCTAAGCCTGCCGCCAGCACGGACCGCGATGACACAGCAAAGGGGGCAAATACCTAGGAGATCCGCGGTCTCTTCACTGTTAAGAACCCCGGGGAGCGCGCACACGGCAGCACATGGAGGCGGGCGGGAGTCGGTGCGGAGCGAGGAGCGCGGGCGCCCTAACGGCGGAGCGGCGCTGGGTGCCGGCGCGGCGGAGGCCCCGCCTCTCGCGACGTTTCCTCTCGCGGCGCTTCCTCTCGCGGCACTTCCGTCTCCGACGCCGACCCCTCCCCGCCCCCGACGCCCCGCGGTAACGGCTTCGCACTGGGCCGGGTCGGACGCACAAGGAGGGGGCTGGGAGGGAGGAGAGGGGCGGGGGGCACACTCCTCGCTCCTCGTCGCAGCAGCAGCCTTCCCAGAAGGGCCCCTCAGTGACCCTAGAAGAAGATGGCGCCCACTCACCCCTCCACTCCGGAAAAACGGACGCACTCTTTGCCCATGCGCTCTCCAGGCGTCCCCCACGGGCCCGGCGCCGCGGCCAGCTGTGCGCATGCGCCCTGACGCTCACCCAACTTCCTGTTGTCGGCGCCGGGCGGCGCCGGCCCGAGCACGCACGCCCGGCCTCGCGGAGCTTCTGCGCATGCTCGGGTCCCAGCCAACCGAGGAAAGAGGAGATTCTGACCCAAAACTGGGAGGTTAATTTGTAATTTGAAAGCTTCGGTCAAGAAACTGCCTGCGTAGACTGCACAAACCGTTCGCGATTTCCAGCAGAGAAAAGTTAGCGGTTTCTTTTCTTTTTCTTTATAGCGCTGCAGTTACCTGTGTGGTGTAAACAACTTCGCAGAAAGGACCGTTGTAAACTCTTTAAAAGGCCACAAAATGTTAGTTTTACTGCCTTTACGAATCCCCCAAGTACAGTGCCAACACCCAGGGGGCTCAGTGAATGCATACTATATTCAACTTTATAGACATTACTAACTTTATGCCTGTGTTTGCTGATCGTCTTTGATGGTGTTTTGAAACATGAGAACAGAAAGGCCAATCTTGAGAATTGGGAAGTAAAAAAGCACAGTGACTGGCATGTTTGGTAATGCCTGTTCTGTAACAGCTGGTGAGCCACCTTGCATGTGATGTTATTTTATTATTTATAAATAAAGCAAACCACCATGTTCATGATTATATATGCATCTATCTGTTGATGCAAAGCTCACTAAGAAAGCAAAAATCGGGTCTTTAAAATTTACAGATGAGAAAGAAAAATTGAATTTTCAATCCCTAGCTCACTTTAATTCAGTGATATGATTGTGAGAAAGAAGAGGTAGTTTAACAAATGGACAACAGGTGCTTCCTGCACTGAGAACCACCATTTACCAACTTGGGCAAATTACCTATAGAAGTAAATATGTTGTATCTGAGACTACTTAAGTTTAATGACTTGTTTCAAATGTCAAGGTGATCCAGAGACAAGCCCTTGGGAGGCTAGGCTCATTGACTCGGTAGCATTTGACCTTGATTATTCCCCAGTCCAAGATTGGGTCCTGGCCTGGCAAGCTCAGGAACCTGAACTGAAAAGCTAATATTGCCCTAGCCCAGAGGTCAGCAAACGGATTAGTCCACAGAGCCAAATATCAACAGTACAACGATTGAAATTTCTTTTGAGAGTCACATTTTTTAAACTTAAACTTCTTCGAACGCCACTTCTTCAAAATAGACTCGCCCAGGCCGAGGTATTTTGTGGAAGAGCCACACTCAAGGGGCCAAAGAGCCTAATGTGGCTCTTGAGACGCAGTTTGCTGACCACGGCCCTAGCCAGTTTAGCTCAGGGATAGAGTGTCGGCCTGCAGACTGAAGGGTCACAGGTTTGATTCTGGCCAAGGGCACAGGCCAGGGTTGTGGGCAACCTAACATTTATTGAGGGTTTATTGTGTGCCAGGCTCTATGCAATATTATCTCATTCTGTCCTTCCTTCCTTCCTTCCTTTCCTTCTTTCCTTCTGTCCTTCCTTCCTTAAGTAACCATAAAGGATGGTCTGAAATTAAAAATTAAAAAGCAGTTTATAGTAGGTAGTCATTTTCTAGGCCAGTATTTTCCCTGACAAAGATCAACTTCCGATCTTGACCGAGCCCATTGTCTTTCTGCATCTAAGATAACATACCTGTGAAATGTCTGGTAACTTATAACTTCCTTTTCTAAGGATCCCTCAGGATGCAACAAATGGCACCAGGGCAGAGACCACAGATTCCCTCATTGTTATTGTTTTCATGTTAATAGTTGACTATTAACTATCCTGTATCCATCTATGTAAAAGAAACATGTGTCCATCATCTCATCCAATCCCAGAGGTTTCCCCACTTTGCTTCTCCCACTTCCCTAATCTATCACCAATGGATTTCATGTAACCCTCTATAGCTCCTCCTTTGATGGTAATTTATAAAAACAAGATAAAAACCCGCCGTTCTGCAGAGCACTATCCCAATAGGTTGAAATTCTGCTTTCCAGCAATTGTCAACAGTTTGGCTCAAATAAACACACATAAATTCTTTATGAAATATGGTAGCAACCATACTTGGGTAAAAACTGCTGGTTGTATTTTAACCTTGCTATTTTGGCTTCTGCACCTGCTTAAACATAGGGTAGTTACCTCAGCTTCCAGGTGGAGACCTGGAGGCTAAGGCAATTTTCCTGTGCCTGGGACCAGAACTACAGGAGACTGATTCCCACTGACTCAGTAGCTTCAGAGATAGAAACTGTAGATAACCTTTAGAGATTAATCTCTGAGCTCTGCTTCTGTATTATCGGCTATCGCTAGATAGGGCCACATTCCAATGTTCCCAGCCATTGGAATTTAGAACAAAGGAAGATTCCTGTGGTTTGGACCTTTAAAAAGACTGCCTACACCTGGAACAGTGCGGTCATGTGGACTCCACCTGCGTCTGGTGCTCTTGCTGCCGTCCTGGCCAGTTTTTCAATAAATCTTTGCCTGCTTTTTTTAATCAATCATCAGCCTCCGGTGGTCTTATTTTGAACCCAGGGTTTGACCCCACAATATTTTACAGGTTTGAATGTGTTTTTATGTTTTGTTTTAAATATATTTTCATTGATTTCAAAGAGGAAGTGAGAGGGAGAGAGAGACAGAAACATCAATGATGAGAAACAACCACCAATTGGCTGCTTCCTGCACACCCCCCACTGGGGACCAAGCCCACAGCCTTGGCATGAGCCCCCGACGGAAGTCAAACTCAGGACCTTTCAATCCACAGGCCGATGCTCTATTCACTGAGCCAAACCTGGAGGGTGAATGTGTTGTAGTTTTTTTATGTTAACAAAGGTCTTGCCTCTATATTGATAGCGGCTGACAGATCAGGTGGTGGTTGCTGAAGGTTGGGGTGTCGGTAGCAATTTCTTAAAACAACAAATGAAGTTGGCCACATCAACTGACACTTCCTTTCATGTGTGACTTGTCTGTGGCATGGAATGCTGTTTGAAAGACGAGGCAGAGGGCCGAAAACCAGGACTACAGGCTTTATTAGAGGAGAAGGACCCCTGCCGGGCTGCCTTGCAAAGGTAGAGAGCACATGTGCAGGGGTGAAGGCGCCTTTTGAGGGGAGGAAAGGGAAGGGATGGGGCTTAGGATACTCAGCACGCGCTGATTGGTGGTTTCATATAAGGCACAGGATTAGGCACTTAGGTCCTTAGGAATCAGGGGCTTAGGGTATTTGGCAGGTGCTGATTGGTGGTTCAATGTACAGTCCATAGAAGGTGCCTGGTTAGGTGCTCAGGAATGCCTAGGCCGAAGGTGCAGTTTACATCATACTCCATCCATCAGTTGGGGGAAGGGAGGATCTATCACTGTTTTATATTATAACATTTTACTCACCCTCTTCCCAAATTGGAGTTAGTCCTCTCAAACCTTGCTGCAGCTTTATGAAATAAGCATATGTCACATTCTAAATCCTTTGTTGTCATTTCAACAATCTTCACAACATCTTCACCAGTAGATTCCATCACAGGAAACTCCTTTCTTTGCTCATCCATAAGCAGCATCTCCTTATGCATTAAAGTCTGATCATGAGATGCAGCAGTTCGGTCACATCTTCAGGCTCCACTCCTAATTCCTGCTCTCTGGCTGTTCCCATCACATCTGCAGTTACTTCCTCCCCTGAACTCTTGAGCCCCTCAAAGTTGTCCTTAAGGGTTGGAATCAATCTCTCACAAACTTCATATAATTTATATTTTGACGTCTTCCCATGAATCATGAACGTTCTTAATAGCATCTAGAATGGTGAATCCTTCCTAGAAGGTTTTACCCAGATCCATTAGAGGAATCACTACCTATGGCAGCTATATATAGCCTTGCAAAATGTATTTCTTAAATAAATAATACCTGCTAAGCACACACAAAAAAAGCTAAGTGTGATGAAATGAGGTGTGCCTGTCCTCTGTGATAAAGGAAGGGGATTCTGTCCTCCGAGGCAGACTCCCTTTCAGAAGTGTACAAAGGAGCTCCCTTGGGTCCCTGATTCTAAGATAACCAAGAAAAGAAGGAACAATGGTTGTGCCAAAACAGGCCGTGGCCATGTGCAGCCTATTCACTGCACCAGCTGTACCCAGGGATGAGGTCATTACGAAGTTTGTCATTCGAGCCCTGGCGGGTGTGGCTCAGGTGGTTGGAGATCATCCTGTGCATGGAAAGGTTGCTGGTTCGATTCCCAGTCAGGGCACATGCCCAGGTGTCAGGCTTGATTTCCATCAATGGAGGACATGCAGGAGACAGCCTACCAATGTTTCACCCTCACATAAATGTTTCTGTTTCTTCCTCTCTTTCTAAAGATCAACATATAGATAGATAGATAGATTTATTTTTTTTAAAAGAAGTTTGTCCTTCGAAACACGGTACAGGCCACAGTCCTTAGAGACATTTCCGAAATAAGTATCTTCAATGCTTATGTGCTTCCCAAGCTGTACTCAAGATTACATTACTGTGTGAGTCATGTCATTCACAGCAAGATACAGTAGTTAGGAATCATTCTTGTGAGGTCTGGAAGGACAAACACCCCCACACTGAGTTAGCACCCTGCAGATGCTGCCCCATCACCTCCACCAATGCCCATGTAAGGAGTTAAGTCCTTAAAGACTGAAGAAAAGTTCCCTGGGGGAAAAAATGAAATTGTACTTAAAAAATAAAATAGAAAGCACTTGAAAAAAATGCTCCATATGATAATATTGTCAATATTAATTCACAAGAAGAGACACTAGTAAAGTAAGGTGACCAGATTTTAACATTGGTAAAGCAGGATAGCATTGACTGGGGATTGGGGGGGATGGTGGTGGCGTGTTCTTGATTAAAAATTTGGTCTATATGGAGCAACAAAAATTTTCATAGAATGCAAAAATAGTATTGTAATATCTTTTTTTAAATTTCAACATAAGTACAATTTACAAATATAATAAATAAATAAAAATTATGTATAGTTGTGTTACTTTCAAGGCCAGCGCTAGACTTTTTGCTACCGCTATAAAATATAAATAATACGAGTACTGTCTGCTAAATTCAAGAAAATTTATGTATTTATGAAATAAATAAATTACTTACATAAATTATCTGAATGGCTGATTTGTAATGACACCACTTGTTTAATTAGCTTACTAGCATGCAGTACGATGTGTATCGTCTGAGAGACAGTTACAAAATGTTTTCGTCGTTGCCAATCCCAAAAAAGTGCCATTGTTCATTAAGTCCAAACAATGGTGGTCGAATTCTAACAATTGATCAACAATGTGAACTTTGATAATAAGTTCTCAACAATTATTTGTTATTATTAAAGTTTAACATTATAAAATTAACAAAAATAATATGAAACTCATACCCTGGCTAAATAGCCCCATTGCCGCCGAAAACCATATATTCTCTTCCTGTTATCCCACCATTCCCTAGCTTTTTTAAAATGCTGTGGGACGTGGGACAAATTGTTAAAAATAGGGACTGTCCCACCAAAAGCATCTGGTCACTATATATATATATATATATATATATATATATATATATATATATATATATATATATATGTCGTGTTTCCCTGAAAATAAAACATCCTCTGAAAATAAGACCTACTTACAGGTTTTCTTGAGTGAAATATAAGGCATCCCCCGAAAATAAGGCCCCCCAGGCTCTGTCTCAGAATGAAAATTAATTTACCATAAACTGGTCGCTAGGGTCATGGAAATTAATGACTACATTGAAAATGGAGAGAAATCAGTGTGGAAACTTTGTGAAACCTAAACTGCAAGAAGTTGTGACTTGGGTGAAGAATTCATGGGAGAAATCACTGACAGTTGCATTGCAAATGCACTGCAAGCAGGCTATCTTGACAAGACAGTGCTATTGCTAAACAGGAGAGATTTGGTCCACTGATTCTGAAAGAAATGGAGTCACAAGAAATTCACCAGGAAATTCAGGAATTGGATTGTTATGATGATGTTCCAGAAGATGATGACATGATTGTCATCGAATAAATGAGTAAATTCTTGATACTGTAGGATTCACAGTTTGTCTGGTTTGTGTTGACAACTCCCGTACTACCGAACAGGTAATAAATTTCCTTTATTTTCATTTAACAATAAATGTGTACCGTATTCTTCTTTATGGAAACATAAGACATCCCCTGAAGATAAGACCTAGCGCATCTTTGGGAGCAAAAATTAATATAAGACACTGTCTTATTTTTTGGGAAACAGGGTATAATTAATTGTATTGATTTCAGAGAGGAAGGGAGAGGGAGAGAGAGAAACATCAGTGATGAGAGAGAATCATTGATTGGCTGCCTCCTGCATGCCCCCTATTGGGGATCTAACCCGCAACCTGGAATGTTCCATCTGGGACCCTTTCAGTCCCAGGCCAATGCTCTCTCCACTGAGCCAACCCGGCTAGGGCTGAATTAATACTTTTATTTATTTTTAAAATATATTTTATTGATTTCTTACAGAGAAGAAGAGAGAGGGATATAGTTAGAAACATGGATGAGAGAGAATTATCAATCAGCTGGCTCTTGCACACCCCCCACTGGGGATGTGCCCGAAACCAAGGTACATGCCCCTGACCAGAATCGAACCTGGGACCGTTCAGTCAGCAGGCCGACGCTCTATCCACTGAGCAAAACACGGTTTTGGCTGAAACAATAATTTTAATTTGTCAGATGTAATCTACTCTTTTCTCTCCGGTGGCATTTTATTTCCCGACCTCCAAACCGATCTCGCATCCCGCCTGTGGATCGCGTCCCAGAGTTTGAAACAAACCTTTTTTAAAGAGAGCGCCTCCCTGCCAGGCTTCAGGGTTAGCGTACCCTCAGCCCATCCTTCTCAGGACCAGCCAGCTTCCCGCGCGGCTTTGGTTACCTAGCAACCCAGCAGCCCGCGGCTTTGGTTACCTAGCAACCCAGCAGGCACTTCCGGAACCCCCGGCGGGAGTGGTCCAATCGGCTCGCAGAGTCGCCGCCGCAAAGGCTGACGGGGCGCTGGAGTCGGGGCACCGCCGGCGTCGGCTCCACGGCGACCGGCCGCCGCGGGCTCGGGCAGCGATGGCTCTCGGGTCCGGCTGGGCGGTGGCGGCTGTGGCTGTGCTCCTCCAGGGCGTCCTCCCTCGGGTCTCGCAGGCCCAGACCTTCTCGTTCCCTCTCCGGCAACCCGAGGCCTGCGACCGCCACCAGTTCTTCGATATCTCCGCGCTCGCCTGCGCGCCGTGCGGAGCCCACCAGAGGCAGGACGCCCGAGGTGAGATGCTGGAGGGCCCCGGCACCCTGACACCCCGGCCGCTGGAACACCTTTTCGTCCGCGGGAAGAGTGTGTCTGGGAAGTTAACCGCCAACACCAGGGCGGATTTCCTTGGAGGATTGCGGTTTAGGGAACCCCCGCCCCCGAATCCGCTACTTGGCGCCGGGGTCCCCTCCTCCGCAGCCCCAGGGTCTGTAGGGAGCACCTGGAAAGCGGCCTAGCGAAAGTAGGAAACAATGGAGGGGGTCATCTGAGGTCCAGAGGAGCAGTGACAGCACAGGTCAGGGAGGGAATGCAGATTAGCCCTTGGGGACTATGATAACCGGTTATCTTACCTTGCTTTCTTTAAATATATATTTTATTTATTTTTTACAGAGAGGAGTGGAGAGAGAGAGAGGAATAGAGATTTAGAAACGTCAATGAAAGAGAAACATCGATCAGCTGCCTCCTGCACACCCCCCACTGGGGATGTGCCCGCAACCAAGGTACATGCCCTTGTCCGGAATCGAACCTGAGACCCCTAAGTCCACAGGCTGGTGCTCTATCCATTGAGCCAAACCCGCCAGAGCTATCTTACTTTAAAAAAGTCAGACACTGCTGAAACCGGTTTGGCTCAGTGGATAGAACGTCGGCCTGCGGACTGAAAGATCCCGGGTTCGATTCTGGTCAAGGGCATGTACCTTGGTTGCAGGCACATCCCCAGTGGGGGGTGTGCAAGAGGCAGCTGATCGATGATTCTCTCTCCATCGATGTTTCTAAA